CTTCCTGTGGCCGGCACAGTCCCCGGAGGCCCGTGAAGATGCCCTCCTGCTCTCGGCCCAGGTCTGGCAGGGCTGCGCCCTCGTCCCCGGGTTGCCGTGCTGGTTCTCCCGCTGGCCCACCTGTCGCCCTCGGCTGCCTCCCAGCCCGGACTCGGGGCCACGCGGGGAGCTGCCAGCAGCCGGGTCTCCCCCAGCGACGCGGGCCCCCACCTGCCTGCTCTCCCTCCACAGGTGTGATCACACAGAACTACCACCAATTCCCGAGACCTCCTTTTTGAAAGGGTAATAACAGTCTATAATCGTTCACGGACCATACTCTTGGCAGCAGAAAAAATAAACATTTTTATTGGGTTTTAAGCCATAGCCGAAAAGCGTAACAGACTACAAAATTACTTCGGGCACTCACGCTAGACAGAGCGGCCCTTTTCCTCCCTCCCTGGAAAACAGGGGTGGCACACAACTACCCCAAGCCCCGGATCCGCCGAGTGTACAGCTCCGGGCCGCAGGCGGGTCCAGGGCTGGGCCGCGGCTGGCATTCTCTCAGTCCGCCCAGTCACTAGCTTGCTCCACTTGACAGCGTATGGCCTTTGAGAAACAGAAATCTCCCTGCAGGAGTTTTCTGCTTTAAAGGTAACTAGAGTGTTTTCTGTGGGTGTTTCATCCTTTAGTTTGTTTTCTGTCTAGAAAATCTTATAAAAACAAAAAAATTTAAGGAAAAAAAGTAATATATTCACCTCTCATTATATAAAACTGGAATATATATTACTAGATAATTAAGCTGGTTATTTACTAAAAACCACGTTTAACTAGCATTGTCAGCCCACCTGAACTTGGCTACTGTGATAAGCTAATGCTTTTATTTCCTGAAACAGAGGCATGAAGCGAAGACTTTAAAACTTGCCCAGAGCTGTACTGTATGTTCCTTTGAGCTTTTCAATGAAGAAAAAACTGAGGAAGCCTCTATCTAAATACATCTCTATAGTTCAGTATGATTTTCATCACCAAGCTCACAGTCGATTCTCTGTGAGCTCTTTCGAGGTCCCCGAGTCTCTCTCTCTCACACACACACACACACACACACACACACACACACAGACACAGACACACACACACACAACACACACACACACACACACACACACCCCGCCCCGTGCCCAATGGGCCTGCGGTCAAAGCCTCCTGAGCAGGGAGCAGGCGGCAGCGGTGCACACACGGAACAGACACCCGCGGAGGGCTCCCCACCTCTGGGGAGACTGAGCTGAAGCCTGCAGTTTACGATGCTGCTCAAGCCTCCCACTGAGAGCCGGTGCTCACCCCTGAAGACTCTAATCTCAGATGGGATCTTCTAGAAAAAGAAAGAAAGAAAAAAGCCTGGGGGATTATCCTAACCAACTGCTAAGCAGTCTGTCAGTTTTCATCATGTGAGGATAGACAGGAGCATACAGTGTAGGGGCGTGGCGAGCACAGGCCCTGGAAGCCAGTTTCAATTCTCTTCTCACACAGCGGGGGACACGTTCTAGGCAAGCGGGTCTGTGTCTGGAGCATCCAGGGCTTGTTCATTCTGGGCCTCAGTCGAGAGGGGCCCTAAGATCTTGGTTATTTCCAAGATCAGAGGGCAGGTAATAACCAAGTCGATGACCCCACTTCTGATATCAGACAGTAAAGCACTGAATAAATAGTATTTCTACAAGCCTCCAACGTGAATTAACACCCAAAGGCGAAGTCACCCTTGCAGGTACGATCGAGCACATCCTCAAGTCCAGCAGAGCTCAGCCTCAGTCACCACCCACACACTCGTGTACGCTTCGTGCCCATCACAGGGCACAGCTGAGTAAGGCCTGCAAAGCTAAAAACCTTTGGCCCTTTTCAGAAAAGAATTTGCTGACCCTTGCTGCTAGAAAGTATACAGACAGCATTTTATATTTGACCTTGGGATGGGGAGTAGATCTGGAAAAGTGAGCCGAAGAAAACAGGTTAAAAAAAAGACTTGCCAAAAGGCCGTTTAAAGGGAAGTTCGAATTTCTAAAACATGATCTTGACTCTCACGCTATAGGAGTCCACTGAACGTGATCCTGAGCGCACAGTAACCCTGGGATCCTGGCCCGCCATGCCTGTGTAACTGAACTAACCCTGTGGGAATTTTCTCTGTATTTTCTGCAAATGTTTTCAGTTTACGCCTGTTCTGGTCTCATTCACATGGGGATATGCCATCTTTTCTGCACGACCATAAATCAGACTACCAGGCACCTGCCCCTCCTCCCCACTGTGTCTCACTTTACAGGGGAAAACCAGAGCGCCACGCTCACCTTGGGCAGCAGAAAAACAGTCTGCTGCTCAAGGGCGACAGCAACTATCGATCCGGTTTGGGAGTGCTGTTCTCTGAAAGTCTGGAAGTGCCTTTCAGGTTACTGAGAAGCAGCAGGAGGGAAGCGCTGCAATGTGCTCTGGGTAGGGCTCTCGGTCTCCTGCTGCTAACACTCCCTCAGCAAGACCCCCAATCCCTCTTTCTGACCCTAGCGCCCACCCTGCCACCTCTGGAGCTGTTCCAGCTCATGATCCAGAATCGCCCATCGCCCACAAAGCCCTCTCTACGCCCTTAATCTCTCCCTCAAACACTGCCGCTCCTTCCTGCCCTAAGCGGACCTCGGTTCTCTCCTAAGGACATGGGTTCCTGACGCTCTCCCCCGTCTAAAAAGACAGCAGCCTTCCTGATCACAGGCCCATGAGTGAGAGAAGCGGAACCGCTGCCAGCGCGGCTGACTCTCCCAGACACTGACACCGGAAGAGGGGTGCTGCTGTCCCCAAACCCTAAAACCCAGGGACTCTGAGACTGGGTGGTGGAAGGCAGGGACACGCGGACAGGAGCTCGACAAACGGAGATACCGTGTGACAGTGAACGGCAGGAAGGCAGAGACGCCCGCGCTGACCCAAGCACTGAGAGCGAGAGGAACAAGCGTTTGCCGAGGTCAGGGGTCGAGCTCCAGGCTCGCAACTACGCAGCAGCACCGCGCCAAGGGCTGGGCACCTGAGACCAGTTCTGCCACCTGTCCCCTGGGCCCCAGCCCGCGCGGCTCCTGGGGACCGCCTAGCAGGCCGCCTGTCCCGCAGGGTCACTTCCCAAGGGAAACACCCTACAACTTCCACCCAGCAGCAAACCCCACTGGCGCTCTCTCTCAAAGCAGGCCCAGAACCAGCTACTTCTCGCAGCTCCCGTGGCCACCACCCCCTTCCACCTGTCTCACCAGCCTGCAGCCTTGCCTTGCTACACTATTCTCAACAGGGTAGCCGTAAGGGCTCCTAAAAATCCCAAGTCGGATGAGGTACTTCTTTGCTTGAATCCTCCAATGCATTTCCAGGACACTCAGAGTAGCAGCCTTAGTCAGGTCCCAGGGTCACTCGCCAGCAGCCACGCCAGGGCCCTCCTCCTGGCCCTGCCCGCTCCCGGCGGGGATGCCCAGGGCCACTGCACCCGCCCTGGCCTCACCGCGCACGGCCAGGGAGCCCCAGCCTCCTCAGGTCTTCCCTCCGACGGTATCTCAGGGGGCCCCCAACACCCACCCCCTGAACCCTGCTTAAAATCACACCACTGCTTTCGTTCTCTTTTAGCTACAGCACTTAGCAAACATGACCATGACGTATCTTACTTAACTATCTCTTCACTGTTTCCCCAGACAGGGGTCAGGTACTTTCGTCTGTCTTCCCTCACAGCCCTCTCCCCAGTGCCTACGACAGCGCCCGGACACACGGCAGACACTTCAGGAGGAGGTGCGAGGTCAGTGAGAGAGTCTGTAGGGTAAGGGCCAGGCCTGGCTCAGCTCTTATGTTTCTAAGTTATGGACCGATAACCAGGCACTCATGGCCGGGAAGGAAATGCTGCCGCCGAGACAAAGGCGTATGGAGTCCTAGTAGGATCTTTCCGTACTGTGGCAGTAAGTCTTTTTTCTCATTTATAGCAAAGGAAATAAAATACAGAAATTATGAGAACTAGTATTCAACACAATTATATTTAGAGCCCCTGGACTAAGCCCTATTTTTATATTTCTGATATACCACTTATTTTCACCACCATAGAAGATGTTTATCTGTAGGGGGTATATCTGCATGATACACCAGTTTCCTAAGTAAGACAAAAACATTCAGTTGTAATTCTTAAGACAGAAAACAATTTTCTCAATAGAACAAAGATCAATTTTTAGAAAAGCAGTGTATGAAGGTCGACTCTACCTTCCAACTATCTTTCACTGTTTTCCTGTTATTAATCTTTCCCTAAACTAAAAGAAATTTCTAAATTAATTACTGCTGAAGGCTCAGATATTACTAAAAATAACCATTTATCAAGCTATTTTAAAAGGAAGAGGAGAAAAATGTAAAAAGAGCTGACAGTATTTGTAGATAAGGACAGTACAAGCACTCCTTGAATGGAAGTCTGTTTACTCACCAGGCAGACATCTATCTATCTGTCGGCCATAAGAATAAATATGACATTAAAATGAGCACAGACATTCTTATTGTCATCAGACACATAAAATGAATCTAGCCACTAGATCTAGGTATAAAGCATGTTGCTTCAGCTAACCAAAATTAAAGTGTCCTTTAAAATAGCACATGTTATAATAAGGCTACACCATAATTATTTTGCTAAGGGACCTCCCCTCCAACAAAACTAAATGAAGAGAAGGCGGGGTGGGGTGAGGGGAGAAAACATTTCAAATGCTGAGACGTCACAGTCCACCAAGCCTTTGAAGAGTACTTTGTTATCCTCTCTCCCCAAGGAACTCATTACTTGTATTTCCATGAAGGCACTGCTGACAGACACCAACTCCCTTATTAAAGATTTCCCTTTTGGTGGGAACTCAAAAAACTAATCATACCATTTTCAAATTCAATTAACAGGTATCTTTTGGCACACTGATGATAAAGCTATTATATTCGTTTCAAGTAAACGTTTCAATTGTTTTGTAACTCTAATTAATGATGACTTGTATTTTTTTACTACTTACCGAGTCCTAACAGATCAACAGTGGGCTCTGCAGCTTTTTTAGGGCTGGTACTTTTTTTAGGCTCCAATTGCTGATCTTCTTTCTTCTGCAGCTTTAAAGTAAATAATCAGATTTATTATTTTTTTTCAAATCAACTGAACAAGACTTTTAAGCCCCAATTGGGCATAGTTTTGATAAAGTTAGTGTAATGTAGCCTATGAAGAAGCATAGTGTGATAAAGCTTACAGCATTCATTACCATAAACTTAAACACAATCATTGAACTTGAACTGATAAACCGGACACGAGGACCCCAAAACAGTGAATGTAGAGATTTAATCTTAATGCTTGTTCCTAAGCATTTAACTCCTTCACGTGAACATTCCACACTATTATAGTATTATAATAGTGTATTATACTTGCTCGCTGCTGCTGCCGGGCAGGCCCCGGGTCCTCGCGAGCAGAGCAGAGGCCACCGGCACTAATGGAACCTGATCTGATGTGCAGGCAGACCTCGTTTTACCGCTCTTCCCTTTACTGTGCTTCACAGATATCACGCTGCTTACAAACTGAAACTCTGTGGCGACCTGCGTGGAGCATTCTTCCAACAGCATTTGCTCACTTTGTGTTTCTGTGTCACATTTTGGCAATTCTCACAATATTTCAAACTTTTCATATTTGCTACGGTGCTCTGTGATCAGTGATCTTTGATGTTACTCTGTAATTGTTATGGGGGAGCCACGAACCACACCCATATAAGACTGCAAACTTAATCAATAAACATTGTGTGTGTTCTGACTGCTCTACCCACCAGTCGTTCTCCATCTTCCTCCCTCTCCTTGGACCTCCCTAGTCCCTGAGACACAATACAGAAATTAGGCCAATGAGTAACCCTACAGGGGTCTCCAAGTGTTCAAGAAAAGGAACAGTCGCATGTCTCTCACTTTAAATCAAAAGCTAGAAATGATTAAGCTTAGCGAGGAAGCCACGTTAAAAGCCCAGACTGGCCACAAGTAGGCTTTCTGCACCAAACAGCCAAGTTGTGAATGCGGAACAAAAGTTCTTGAAGGAAGTTAAAATCGAATAGTCTTAGTGCTGATGTGGAGAAAGTTTCAATGGTCTGGAGAGAAGATCAAACCAGCCACAACATTCCCTTAAGCCAAAGCCTAATCCAGAGCAAGGCTCTAACTCCCTTTAACTCCCTAAAGGCTGAGAGAAATGAGGAAGCTGCAGAAGCAAAGTCTGAAGCCAGCAGAGGCTGGTCCATGAGGCTGAAGGAAAGGAGCCGTCTCCATAACAACGAAGTGCAAGGGGAAGCAGCACGTGCTGATGCAGAAGCTGCAGCAAGTTATCCAGAAGATCTGGCTGAGATAATTCATGAGGGTGAACAGATTTTCAAGGTAGACGAAACAGCCTTCTATTGGAAGAACATGCCATCTAGGACTTTCATAGCTGGAGAGGAGAAGTCACTGCCAGGCTGTGAAGCTTCAAAGGGCAGGCTGACTCTCCTGTTAGGAGCTAATGCAGCTGGCGACTTTAGGTGGAAGCCAATGCTCATCTACCGTTCCAAAAATCCTAGGGCCCTTAAGAATTATCCTCAATCTGTGCTGCCTGTGCTCTCTAAATGGAACAGAAAGCCTGCATGACAGCACATCTGTTTACAACATGGTTTACTGAATGTTTTAAGCCATGTACTGCTCAGAAAACAAGGTTCCTTTCAAAATGTGACTGCTCATTGACAATGCACCTGGTCACCCCAGAGCTCGGGTGGAGACGGACAACGAGATTCATGTTGTTTTCACGCCTGGTAATATAACGTCTATTCTGCCGCCCGCGGACCAAGGAGTCACTTTGACTTTCAAGTTTTATTCTTTAAGAAATACATTTTTTAAGGAGACAGCTGCCACAGATAGTGATTCCTCTGATGGATCTGAGCAAAGCCATTTGAAAATCTGGAAAGGATTCATCATTCTAGATGCCATTAAGAACATTCATGATTCATGGGAAGAGGTCCAAACATCAACATTAATAGGAGTTTGGAAGAAGTTGATTCCAACCCTCATGGATGACTTGGAGGGGGGTTTAAGACTTCATGGAGGAAGGAACTGCAGATGTGGTGAAAACAGCATGAGAACTAAAATTAGAAGTGGAGCCTGAAGATGTATGGTGTTGGACAAAAGGTTCACTCAGTTTTTTCTGTAAGATGTCTCTAGTAGCACTTAGTTGTCTTTAACTTCATTCGAAACAATTTTGTTAGCTTGTGACAGCTGTCATATCAGCGTGCTTTTAAAACAAAGACATCAAAGATGTCAAATTCTAAATTATGCTTTATTATTTCAAGAGAGGTAAAAATGCAAATGAAACACAATAAAAGATTTGTGCAGTGTATGGGGAAGGTGCTGTGACTGATCCAACGTGTCAAAACTGGTTTGCGAAGTTTCGTGCTGGAGATTTCTCGCTAGATGATGCTCCATGGTCGGGTAGACCAGTTGAAGTTGATAGCGATCAAATTGAGACATTAATTGAGAACAATCAACGTTATACCACACGGGAGACAGCTGACATACTCAAAATATCCAAATCAAGCGCTGAAAATCATCTGCACCAGCTTGGTTATGTTCATCACTTTGACGTTTGGGTTCCATGTAAGTTAAGTGAAAAAAACCTTCATGACTGTATTTCCGCATGCCATTCCCTACTGAAATGTAATGAAAATGTTCCGATTTTAAAACAAACTGTGACCGGAGATGAAAAGTGGACACTGCACGACAATGTGGAACGGAAGAGATCGTGGGGCAAGGGAAATGAACCACCACCAACCACATCAAAGGTCAGTCTTCATCCAAAGACGGTGATGCTGTGTATATGGTGGGATTGGAAAGGAGTCCTCTATTACGAGCTCCTTCCGGAAAACAAAAGGATTAATTCCAACAAGTACTGCTCCCAATTAGACCAACTGAAAGCAGCACTTGACAAAAAGCACCCAGATTTAGTCAACAGAAAATGCACAGTTTTCTATCAGGATAATACAAGACCACATATTTCTTTGATGACCAGGCAAAAACTGTTACAGCTTGGCTGGGAAGTTCTGATTCCACCGCCGTAGTCACCAGACATTGCACCTTTGGATTTCCAGTTATTTCGGTCTTTACAAAATTCTCTTAATGGAAAAAATTTCAATTCCCTGGAAGACTGTAAAAGGCATCTGGAACAGTCCTTTGCTCAAAAAGATAAAAAGTTTTGGGAAGATGGAATTATAAAGTTGCCTGAAAAATGGCAGAAGGTAGTGGGGAAAAGAGGTGACTATACTGTTCAATAAAGTTCTTGGTGAAAATGAAAAATGTGCCCTTTATTTTTACTTAAAAACCGAAGGCACTTTTTGGCCAACCCAATAACTAAATTGCTGCAGTCTCAGGATAAAACTCTCACAGATGAGGAGTTGCTTCTTACGGAGAAGCAAAGAAAAGTGTTTCTTGGGATGGAATCTACTCCTGGTGAGGATGTTGTGAAGATCGCTGGATGACAACAAAGGATTCAGAATATGACATAAACTTAGTTGATAAAGCAGCACAAGGGTCTGAGAGGAACAACTCCAATTTTGAAAAAATTCTACCGTGGGTAAAATGCTATCGAACAGCATCATAAGCAACAGAGAAACCGTTCCTGAAAGGAAGCGTCAATCCACACGGCAAACATCATCACTGCCTCACTTTAAGAAACTGCCGCAGCCGCCCCACCTTCGGCAGCCAGCACCCTGATCAGCCAGCAGCCACCAGCACGGAGGCAGGACCCTCCACCTGCAAAAAGACTACGGCCTGCTGAAGGCCCAGATGATGGTTAGCTTTCTTTCGGCAATACAGTATTTTTAAATTAAGGTATGGCTGAGTAATATTCCACTGAATATGTAGCCCACCTCTCTTATGCCAAGGAAATAAAACATTCATTCATTTGCTCATTTATTTCTCAAACCACTCCCACAAGATCATTTCCTCAACTACCTAAAGAACTCATAGCTCAGCTGTTACATGAGTTCATTTTTTGTTAGCTGTACAAATGCATAAATTTCTAAGAACATATATATATATATCTCCCCTTACTTGTTTCTGGTCACTTACTGTCTCCCACTCAGAATCAGCTTTTTAACTAATTAGCCTACCAATCATTATAGATATCAATTCTTTTTTTTTTTTTTTGGCAGTATGCGGGCCTCTCACTGTTGTGGCCTCTCCCGTTGCGGAGCACAGGCTCTGGACATGCAGGCTCAGCGGCCATGGCTCACGGGCCCAGCCGCTCTGCGGCATGTGGGATCTTCCCGGACCGGGGCATGAACCCCTGTCCCCTGCATCAGCAGGTGGACTCTCAACCACTGTGCCACCAGGGAAGCCCTAGTATCAATTCTTTAGTAACCTTCTCAAATACACAATTATCAGCCTGTAACTATATAATTCTCAGAAGTTTAACATAATTCATTTTGCATTCTCTTACCTCCAACAGAGGTAAGACTTACCTTGCTTTTTAGCAAAATAATTTCAAAGAAAGCACAGTTTGTAGTAACAAAGTAAGCAATCTTTTCACTGAATACTTAAACTGCTAGACCTTCCTTCCTTCCTTTTTTTTTTTTAAACTGGACAACCTATGTTACTCTAAACACTTAAATCTGCAAGAGAAATGGGGGATTAAATGGCCACGAGAGAGCACACAAACTTAAAACCCTCCCGGGGCAGGCCTTCCCTGGTCACACTCCTTGCAGTACTCTGTATATTATATATGCAAGTGTCACATGTTTAGTTGGCACTTAAAAATCTAATCCCTGACTTAACTTAAAATCAGAAAGCCTTAAAGTTGAAAATAAACTTAGATCATATGGGCAAACTCATTCATTCCGCATTATTAACTGAGGTCAGATATTATATGCCAAATGGGGACAGAGTAACTAAAATTTATTTTTTGTCCCTCAATTCAGATTGATTTCTTTGGTATAATATTTTAGTGAATCTTCTTCCATGCAAAGAAGCACAGAACAAACCTGTGACGGATTCCTTCCTACTCACTTTCTACAGTCTAAGAATCCAGAACCTCTTCAGGCTAAAATGATTTCTTTTAAAAATTCAAA